TAATAATAACAATAATAATGATAATAATAATAATAATAATAATAATGATAATAATAATAATAATGATAATAATAATAGTAATAGTAATAACAATAATAATAAAAATAATGATAAAAAGGACACTAATGTTTATGATGATAGCAATAGCAATTATTATAACAATAATGATAATAATGATAATAATAATAATAATGATAATAATAACAACAATAGTAATAATAATGATAACAATAATAACAAGAATAATAAAAAATAGAGACAGTTATGATTATCATAATAGCAATGACAATAATGATAAAAATAATGAAGATGATTATAATAATAAAGTAATAATCAGTGATAATAATAATAATGATGATCATCATAATGATACCAACAAATATGATGAAATTGATAATAACAATAATAATAATAACAATAACAGTAAAGATAATGAATCATAATATAAGAAAACAAAGCAATTACAATATTAGTCATTTTAACGATAGTGGTGGTAAAGATGATAGTAATAATAAGATTAATGATAATAATGATAATAATAATAATAATAATAGTAATAAGGTTGATAATAATAATTATAATGATAATAACAATAATGATAAGAATAATAGCAGTGATAATGATAAGCCTAAGAATGATAATAATTATAACGATGAAAACAAAAATAACTAAAGAAATAATAATATCGATGATGATAATAATAATGATTATACTAATAATGATTTTCATGCTGATGATAATGTTAATGATATAATTATAACGATAATGATAACAATAATGAATTGATAATAATATAATGTAAAAAGACTTACCTATATCAAAACAAAAGAAATGTATTCTTACCGAATCATATTGCCACTTTGTCAAGATTATTTTTTTATACAAATGATAAGAATGTTCGGTGTCGCCGCTACCACCCAGAGTTTTAAGGAATCAAGGCACTAAACCAGTGGTTCCCAAACTTTTTCTGGTCGTTACCCACTTTTCATACATGATCCTTGTCCATGGCCCCCACCCCCAACCATAACCCGTGACTACAGTGACTGTCTACAGTCCTACACTCATTAGGTCCATATAAAAACCACTCTAGCAAGCAAGGCATTGCACAAACCTGTACTGAACCTGTAAGTTCCCTCCACTGGCTGCTTACCCGCTAAACTCCTTTGATTTTATCTCTACATAGCCTCAGATTATGGCCCCCTACATTCTGCTATATGGCCCCCCAGGGGGCCATGGCCCCCAGTTTGGGAACCACTGCACTAAACATACACGTGAGCGAGATGAAGAACAGTGGTAATATTCCTGCTTTCTCCCTTCTCCCATATGAATATATAAACAAATCAACTATTTATAGATAATTGTCATCATTTACGTTATTCTAACACTATATTTTGCTATATCAACATGCCTTAGAAATATGTTAATAAACATTTTTACAAATATTTTTACAATATTGTCGAATCAATATCGATCTCGACAATAATGATAAAGATAACATTGATAATAATAATGATAATGATGATGACAGTGTTAATAACATAATGCTAATAATAGTAGTAGTAATGATGATAATGATAATAACAACAACAATAATAGTAATTACTACAAAAATAATGATAATGGTAATAATAATAAGAATGATGATAATGAATAATAATAACGATAATCACAATAGTAATGATATTAATAACAATAGTAATAATAACAATAATAATGATATTAATAATGATAATAATAATGATATTAATAATGATAATAATAATAATAATGATAATAATAATAATACTGATAATGATAATAATAACAATAGTAATAAAAGCAATAATAATGATATTAATAATGATAATGATGATAATGATAACAATAATACTGATAACGATAATAATAATACTGATAAAGATCGTGATAATGATACTGATAATACTAATAATGATGATAATGATGGTAATAATAAAAGATAATGATAATAATGAAAGTAATATTATTAATGATGAAGATAATAATAGTAATGATAATAACAGTGATAATAATAATGATGATGATAATAGAGATGGTGACGATATTTATAGATGATGATGATAGCAACAGTAACAGCAGCAATAATGATAATAATGATAATAATAATAATAATACTTATTGTTATCATTATTATTATCATTACAATTAGAATTAGCATTATCATCATTTTGATTATTATCATATTATTATCTTTAGTATTATTATTATTTACAAAAAGTATCCTTTATAATGAACAGTGTTTACTGCGACAAATGTAGAAATGGTGTGAATGAGATATTTATACTCGTTTACATATATTTTCAAAATCTATTTACCCCTCCGAACACAAACATACAAAAAGAGAGAGTGAAAAAAAGAACACTTGTTGATTACTTTCTGAAAAGGAAAAAGAAAAAAGCAAGGGAAAATATCACAATTTTTGAATTCGCGCTCCATAAAGTGACTGATGAAAAGAAAAGTAATTTCGTATGATTAATTGAAA